ATCATGGCTCATCCTTGACCTTACAATTTGCACTTTATAATTTTATTTTTGCATCAATATGTCTTTAGGGGCATCTACCTCGAGGTCACCTTGCAGGTCTCCAATGAGACCATAGCTCGAGCTCTACCTAGAGGAACCCCATGATCGGCCTATGGGTCAGCTCAAGGCATGACCTCTCGAACAACCTAAATACACAATAAAGGTTGGACTTTCGTGATGACTTAATCCTACTTGAACTCCAGTATTGAAGTCTTATTATACCTTAACAAAGGAAGACTGATCCAATTACAAATCAAACATATAATAGTTCTACAACTCCAAAGTCCATCACATCACGCGCAATCCATGCGTGTCCTCATACGATTACACTTTAAATTATTTTAAATCCCTACAACTTGTTCATTGTTCAGATATGTTTTCACATATGACTCATGTTTGGTGGGGATTAAAATCAATTTTTTAGTAGAGTTTTGACAGAAATGTGTAGCTAAAAAGTTATAAGCCTCATATAATATGTTATTAAAATTAAATATTGACTGACTTATATTAAAATCTTGATTTTAATTTGTACCAAACAAGTGCATAGTTTATTGCTCAAAGCATATACTTTCTCTCCCTATGCCAACTTAGGTAGGAGGGGTGACAATGTCATGTCTCATTACCTTTGTTTCAAGTACTAGAAGGCTCTAGTAGTTGTCATCCATTAGTAACTTTATCTAATTCATGTGATCAAGCTCATGCAACCTTAGGTACAATTTTGGCAGCATCTATGACAATGTGGACGAGATATTTTCATTGAAAATGCTTTTATTATAATTTCATAGTTTTTCAAAAGATAATTAATAAATTTCAATAAGTTATATAAAAATTCATACTTAATACACATATAAAGTTTACCTCAATACGTAACGTAATAATTGCATAACTCAAACGGAAAAATTCATAATTAAGAGATTTAGTTTCACCCATTTCAAATTTAAGAACTTAAGTTTCAAATTTCAAAATTCAGATATTTTTAAATTTAATTAATTAATTAATTATATATTTTATTAATTAAATATATTAATATCACAATTTCATATAATTTGGTCATAAATTCTAAATAATTAGTCACGTATTATTAATTTGTCACAAATCACAAATTTTACATGTCACAATTCAAAAGTTTTATAGGTCACAATTCGTTCATCAGTCACAAATAAAAAATTGAAATGTCAAAATTATTTTACGATCACAATTCAAAAACTTTATATGTCACAATTTGTACATCGATCAAAAATTAAAAAAAGCAGTGCTATACTTACAGGGCCTGCTTCACTGGTCCCTGCCAAGTAACACACATGGGGGTGGGGGCCACATTTTTTTTAATACATTAGGGTGGAGCCCTGTGCTACAGTGAAGGGCATGTAAGACCCTTGTGAAATTAAGTCCTGTACGCAGGGCTTAATTCAATTAGAAATTTTATAAGTCGCAAATTATTTTACGATCACAAATCGAAAAATTTATAAGTCATAAATTATTTAATGATCACAAATAAAATATTTTATAAGTCACAATTTGTTCATCGATCACAAATCAAAAAAATTATAGGTTACAATTTATTTATCGGTCACAAATCACAAATTTTATAAGTCACAACTTATTGCACTATCACAAATTATCGAATTGGTGGTCACAAATTATCGAATTTTAAATCACACATTATTTATTGGTCACACATTAACCAGATTATTGGTCACAATCAACCCATTTAATGTGACCACCACCACCAATTGTGACCAGAGCCAACACCACGGTCGCTGACAATGGGTAGCACCACCACCATGTCCACCATATCAAACAAACTAACACCCACTACCAAAAATCATTGTGATTTGAGCACCACCGTGATTAATCAAATGGAAAAACCACCATGGCATCACCATTATCGTCAGATAAACCACTACTAGCAGCGCCGTCTCCACCCAACAGCATTGCACAATCACACCACAAACACCACCAAATGCTAGGGCCTAGTAGACTCCAATTGTCATCACAAACACCACCAATGGTATCAAAATCTGTATTCTGCTCGCCGCTCCACCTCGCACGACATCGGGATCTCTCGGCGCCGCTCCACCTCTCGAAGTCTCGCAAACAACTCCGTCATCGATACACAACGACGTCGAGCGATGCCGCTCTTAGATTAACATCATCATCGGGATCTATATACCTTGCACATATTGAAATCTCATGCCGCTCTACCTCACATATTAATGTCGCTCACCGCTCCACCTTGCAAAGATCGAAATTTCACTCCGCCTTACCTCCTATGGTTTCTCCAATGTGTAGTGTGTGGTAAAGACACAGAGATAATTGAGAGATATGAAGAGAGAATGGAAAGGGGAAAATGAAAAGGGTCAGGGGTAAGAGATTTTGGCTTTGACTGTTTGAGAGTTAAAAACGATGGATAGATTAATTTAATTAATACTAAAATGTCTAAATTTTTATCTGATTCTTTGAAAGGAAAACTTTAAAGTTTGATTTTTGAATTGGACATTTTAAAACTCTTGTTAGGTGTAATTTCCACTAACTCAAATGTTGAAATCTCTTTGAAGTACACCTGCATACACTTACTGAGGATTAGGGCCCTCAGGGGCATAGAGCCCACTCTCTAGTTGTGGCCCAAAATGCATGACCGAACGCATTCAATTCAATGTGTCCATTAGTCCATATATAATCTCGATAGTGTAAGGATAATTCGTGTTAAATTTTCCATACTAAAAGTGTCCAGATATAACTTGGGGTGTTACTCTATTTTTAAGCTAATAATTGATGGTGATATTATGGAATTATCAAGTAAATTCATGAAGTTACAGGATTAAGCTATTTGTATAACGTTGGATGATAATATATGAATCGGCAAAAAATTGTTGGTTGAAAAAATAAGTTATCGTTCAAACTGTCCAATAAAAACATATCACGTAGAATGATGTCATCCAACATTGTACACCAAACACGATTGGAATTTACCAATACTGATGAATTCTGTTGTCTATTAATTGCTGTTGTTTTGCATTTCGTTTTTTAAGGTATGGAGTCTGTTAATATCTTCTTACTGTTAAGTACTTAGTATAAAATTCATGAGTTTTTCAATTTTGCAGCCAATTGTACCTTGAAGCCATCTGACTTTTTTGAATTCTATCATAAATGTTGGCTTTCAGATTACAACATTCATTATAAAGGACGACTTACTAAATTAGAAACAGTACTTTTTTTTTTTTTTTGATACCCAGGTATCGCAGCTTAGTCACACTAAATCTTGAACATCTAGCCACCGCCCTTCAGCGACTCGAGGAGGTAAACCGTGGATTATGCCCTTGTTGGCTCCCAGATTCCTGCACTGCTTATACTCCTGGCCCCAAGATAGCTCTCCTCACTGCCTTCCAGTCATTGCCTTGCTTTCGAGAAAATCCCCCTTCCAAGACTCGTGCCTTTCAGAAATCGAACTCTCCACGTTGGGGTTGCAAGCCCACAAATACAATTGTTCCACCAACTCGGATGTGCCTCGGAGGGCTAGAAACAGTACTTTTTGAATATACATGAATCGTGTTTGGTACGTTTTTCGACTTTATCAGCCACTAAATGCTTTTGTAAATAAAAAAATTTTATAATAAGTAATTTTTTATTGATTAAAATTTTAAATAAACAAGTTGCTTATTTGGGAGGAATCTAGTACTTTATTGGAAATTCACAACTTTTTACTCAAATTGTAGCTGTATTTATCATTTATGCTTTGGATATAATTCAAATAGTATGGATTCTACCAGTAATTTTATCACGTACTCGATACAGNTGGATTCTACCAGTAATTTTATCACGTACTCGATACAGTAATTCACGTGAACCTAAATCAACTCTAGCTCCACGCCTAATTATCGAGAGGGAGAGCTAAATGGAATTATGGATCAAATATTTTAAACATATTTCAAAATAATAAATATCTCGATATAATAATTTTTACTTATTTTAAAACTTAGCAAAACATATTGACGACACCTAAACAACATAAATGCGACCTGTACAGAAATCTTTTACAGATTGTTTGACAGGTTGCCCGTTGCAATCATTTAGGACAATGCTACTTGTACATTAGCAGGTACATAAGAGTGTACATAATGTGAGTGNATTATGTACACGGTAATGTACAAGTAGGTTAATCCAATCATTTATTGGATGGACACAAAACAAAGTTAAATCAGCCAATACAGTGTTGACACCTCATCATCTGTAATGCTTTATGTAATTTCTACATGTACAAACAACTTTATTTGGTAGACAATTGAGTGACTTGTTCTTCACCAATCATTCCCAATAATACAATAAGGTGAGAAATTGAGAATGACCTGTGTTTCATCCTTAATTCTAGATTTACAGACACCAAAAACCTACGACATTGATGGACCTTTGAATTTCCACGGTGCCTGCATGCATGCAAAAATAGTACGCTCCTTAATTAAAGCAACCTTACATGTAACCTTCACAATTCCATTGCATTTGCACTTCTCTCTCTAACTCTCTTTGTATTTCATCTTTCTCAGCCATCATCAAAATCCCATCTTTCTGTATCTCTCTGCAGGTTGATGGTGGTTGGGTTATAGATCATCAGTTCAACACCATCATTTTTCATATCATGTAATATTCACCATTTGATCTGGTGGAGAGAGAAAAAGAAAGTCATGGAAATTGCAAGAATCAGGCAATTGGTGCTCCTCTGGTCTAAAATTCGAAGCTTTCGTGTAGCTCTCGTGGGTGGTAATCACACCGCAGCAAGATTCTGTACTCGCTAAAATTTTCATATACTGCGCTCGATCTTTGAGCTTGTTTTCCCTCTCTCTTTTTAAAATTTCTTTTCTCACCCCCATAATCTGCTTTTTTCTGTTACAATTATAAATAATCTGCATTTTGGATCTACAAATTCTCTTTCTGCTCCCATTCTTTTCAGCATTCTTTGGACAGGGATGGACGATTTGGCTCGTGGGTACTGGGCCGTGAATGGATTAGAAATGAATGAGCTTAATGCTGGTGGAACGGGATTAAATTCCGACACCCTTTTGATCATCAAGTTTCCAGATTCTCGGGTTCTGCGAATTTTGTCAAGATCGTTTTTCTTGGCTATGGTTCTTCTCACATTGTTTTCACTTGGCTCGATTATGAGAGATTCTTCTGGCGCTTTTTATGAATCTGATACCGGTTCAGATGTCATTGGCTTCAAAATTCTGCCTATTTTGTTCGGCGATTTGGTCGATGAAGGCCTAATCAAGATGGGCCACAAGGGCCTCATTGTCGGAGCTGGTGCTGGAGATATTGAAGATGATTTATATTTCTCGAAGGAAATCGGCATTGATTTGGTCACTGAATCTGATCTTCGCCGGAAGGAGATCACCCAAAACGAGATGTTTAATTTTGTTTTCGCATTGAGCTTCCGTGGAATCAAGCAAATCGACAACGTTCTTAAGAACAATGGCATTGTGATTGCACCATTGGGCAATGATCCCTCGAATGATCTACACCTTCAAACAAATTACAGAATTGTGTACCTTCGAAGATACGAGAATACCGTGGTGGCAATGAGGAAATCAAAGGCATCAACTGGCTCGGAAAACTCCCTGGCGAAGCAGATTTCCTGTGGAACTACGGTCGAGGCCAAGAAAGATGGTTTGAAGGGCCTAGAAGATGTTTATCTCGAGCCCCCAAGACGTGCATTGGCACAATCGAGCTTCAGATCAAGGAAAATCAAGTTCCTTCCTGATTTGTTGAAGGATTCTTTGGAGAATTATCCCCGAAGAATTTTCATCGCAGATGACTCAAGTGCATTAGACTGGTTTTACAAAAACTATCCAAAAAGGGATCAAAAGTTCGAAAATTTCAACATGGAGCTTAAGGCGAGTACTGACGTTGAATCATCATCACCTCAAGAAACCGCAGTATCAACTTGGTTAACAAAGAGCGTGAAGAACGAGGACTACGTTGTAATGAAGGCTGAAGCACAAGTAGTCGAGGAAATGTTGAAGGAGAAGACTATATGTCTTGTGGATGAACTGTTTTTAGAGTGTAAGAATCAATGGCAACAAGAAGGAGAAGAAGAGAATGGGAGCAAGAGGGCATATTGGCAGTGTTTGGCATTGTATGGAAAATTGAGAGATGAAGGGGTTGCTGTACACCAATGGTGATTTTAATTGTGAGAGAGGAAGACGAGTTTTATCGTTAATATTCTGATGTTAGTAAAATTTGTGGGCTTTAAATTTACTTTTTTCAGCTTTCAGTAACTCTGTCATTTTCTTTTTTACTTTCTTTTTTCTGTGGGGATGGTTCAATTTTCATTAATTTCCCTAATAATTTTTAGGGAATTTAGTTTTTTTATCTGTTTGGGTTTTAGGCCTTTTGTATAGATATATATCAAAATTATAATACTATTTTGTTGTTTTATCAGTCTTCTATTTCTAATATTTTTTCAATTGTTTTGCACTTTATCTTACAATGGTCACATCTGCAATATACATGAGCTTTTCTTGAAGCCAATATCTGCAATGACTCTAAAGAGAATATGAAAGTCATAATGAGACGTCTGCTAAGAGTGTAGACTTGATTTGAAGATTGTGCAATGACTCTAAAGAGAATATGCAAGTCATATTGAGACGTCTGCTAAGAGTGTAGACTTGATTTGAAGAGTTTATTAGGTGTCCCTGGAGAAAGGTTCATTCCGACACATATGTGGAGATTGGTCGAAAGTTGTCATTCGCTTGAACAGTTGAAATGATAAATTGGGCTTATTTGTAGTTTGCTAGTTTAGGATAGGTCACTTGTTTTTTTTTGATAACTCGGGTGTCCGAGTTTCGTCCGACTAATCTTGAAGAGTGGAGGCCTTCCCCCGGTTCGCCACCCGGGTAAATTCGAATACGGTCACAATTTATACCCACTTGGGCGGAATATTCAGGAAGCGGTTCTTCTTCTTGTGGACCTCCTTTTACGACGTACGAACAGACCCCTAGAGGGGGACAAAGCGCATCATAACTTTGTCACTACAGAACATGTGCCTTCCAATCCGCAGAGAACTCTCCTGCTTTACCACTGCGTATGGTCACTTGCACTGGCGGATCTACAGTGGGGCCTAGTGGGGCAAGTGCCCCACTAGATTTTGAAGTTTTTTTTTTTTTTTTTTAAAGTAAGAAATGAAAAAGACTTCCTTCAAAATCAAATTGTGCAATGACTCTAAAGAGAATATCCAAGTCATATTGAGACGTCTGCTAAGAGTGTAGAGTTGATTTGAAGAGTTTATTAGGTGTCCCTGGAGAAAGGTTCATTCGGACACATATGTGGAGATTGGTCGAAAGTTGTCATTCGCTTGAACAGTTGAAATGATAAATTGGGCTTATTTGTAGTTTGCTAGTCTAGGATGGGTCACTTGTTTTTTTTTTTTTTTGATGACTCGGGCGTCCAAGTTTCGTCTGACTAATCCTGAAGAGTGGCGGCCTCCCCCCGGTTCGCCACCCGAGTAAATTCGAATACGGTCACAATTTATACACATTTGGACGGAATATTCAGAAAGCGGTTCTTCATCTTGTGGACCTCCCTTTACGACGTACGGACAAACCCCTGGAGGGGGACAAAGCGCACCATAACTTTGTCACTACAGAACATGTGCCTTCCAATCCGCAGAGAACTCTCTTGCTTTACCACTGCGTAGGCAGAGACGGACCCAGCACCCGGCGACGGGGGGCGACAGCGCATGCTGGGCTCCGCCGGAACGACCGTCGTCGGCAGCGTCTATGCCCTCTTCTTCATTGCCTTTTTTTTTTGTTTCTGTTTTGAAAGTGGCTGCTCTAATCAAAATCAGTAAATTTCATTCATTATTAGCCCTAATCCATTCTCCTCCTTTTGTCATACAACCGGAACGACCGCCGCCAGCAGCGTCTATGCCTGGTTCGTCTTCTTCATTGCGTTTTTTNACCGTCGTCGGCAGCGTCTATGCCCTCTTCTTCATTGCCTTTTTTTTTTGTTTCTGTTTTGAAAGTGGCTGCTCTAATCAAAATCAGTAAATTTCATTCATTATTAGCCCTAATCCATTCTCCTCCTTTTGTCATACAGTCGGATTTCCAGTGAGATTCCAGCGAGCCTAGGGTTCAATGTTTTTACTGACATTGGCTCGCCAAAGATTGATGTGTGCTTCAGTGTTTTGCGGATTTTTGGATCTCCAGCAGATTCCAATTGCTGGAAAATTTTCGCCCTTCTTGACTAATGTTTCTACATTAACAAAGCTTGATATTTCAGGTAATTTATTTTCGGGTTCTATTCTGAATGAGATTCAAAATTTGTGGATATTGGAAGAGTTGAACATGGCGAACAATTCATTCAGTGATTTGGTTCCTGTTAATATAAAGAAATGTAGTAATTTACAAGTTCTTGATCTTGGGGATAATTTATTCACAGGGGATTTTTTTGGGTTTTTTGGCGAGTTAAAAAGTTCGAAATTTCTATCACTTGGTGGAAATAACTTCTCAAGTTCTGTTCCTTTGAGTTTTGGATATTTGACATTGCTTGAGAGTCTTAGTTTAGGAGGCAATCACTTAATTGGAGTGTTTCCTGATAAACTGGTGCTTTTGAGGAACTTGAGTTCATTGAATCTTAGTGGAAACAAGTTTTCTGGACCAATTCCAATGAGCATTGGGAATTCAAAGCAACTTGCAGTTTTGAATCTGAGTAATAATGGTTTTTTGGGTACCATTCCAGCAAGTTTTGGGGGTCTGTTTAAGTTGACGGTTCTTGATTTGAGTAAATAGAATCTATTAGGGGAGTTGCCATCCGATCTTTCGGGTTTGCCTAATCTGAAAGTGATTGCATTGCAGGAAAACATGTTTTTGGGTGTAGTTCCTGAAAGTTTGAGTAGCTTGATGGGGTTGGAGTATTTGAATATCTCTTTCAATTCGTTTTCTCGTCGTATTCCTTCAACTTTTGGTGCCTTGAAGACTGAAGTCTCTAGTTGTTCTTTCATTGTCAAACAATCACATTTCTGGCTCAGATCCTCCAGAGCTGGGGAATTGTTCAGCTCTAGAAGTTATAGTCCATTGCTCAAATTCTTTGAGTGGGCAAGTTCTTGTTTCCCTTTCTTATGTTTCACATTTGAATGTTCTTGATTTGGGATTGAACAATTTGACTGGTCGAATCCCCGATGAACTATCAAATTGCTCGTCACTAAATTCTCTTTTACTCAAGTCAGACAATTTGACTGGACAGATTCCAGCCAATCTTACATTACTTTCCAGCTTGGTGAATTTCAATGTGTCAAACAATAACTTGGAAGGTGAAATTCCAATAATGCTAAGCTCTAGGTTTAACAATCAATCATTATTCTTCGGTAATAAAGAATTCTGTGGGAAGCCATTGGATAGAAAAGGCGAGGAAAGTGGTATCAGGTATGGGTAATAAGAAAAACAAGCTGATCCTCTTTATTGCTGTGGCTGCTAGTGGAATTCTCCTCATGGATTCTCTGTCTCCCTCTCAAAGGTGATGAGAATAAGAGGGATGGTCAAGTTAAACATCCCCAAGGCCACATGCATTGGCCTCACGAGCTAGCTGATCAGGTGCGTGGAAATAGTTTAAGGGAAATAGGTGGTGGATTTCCTAGGCATCATCGTGCCCCTTCTACTCATGCTGCATGTTTTGCCATTGCAAAACCATCTACTATGGTACATAAGATGCAAAATATTACAAGCTTGGATCTTTGATTGCTAAACTTCGACGTTGACCGGTCAACGTCCGCCCGGGCTCAACTTCGAGGCTGGGTCCGTCCCTGTGCGTAGGGTCACTTGTTTTTGTTTGTGCGAGGGGTTGGTTATTTGTATATTCAAAAATAATGAAGTTCAAATGGAGTAGAGATCGGCAACTTCTCTATATGTTAATATAGTCAACGACAGTATCATATGTTCTAACTTCCATACGAGTAAAATTTGTGTCTCCACGATAGGATGGTGAGAATTTCGAAAATATGTTTGGGACATTTAAGTGGAAATGTCTGCTGATTATTAGGAGAAAAGTAGTACTTCCAACTGGTTATCACTGTAAACTTAGACTACTTTTCTCTTTTCCATAATAATAAATGGTGTAATCTTTAAAACAAGACAATTACACCTCTATTTTCAATAAATTTGTGTTGACTATTAATTTTATTGATTATTATTTTTTGACACTTTCTCGTGACTATACTTGTGGAGAGATCCAATAAGATCAAATAGTTTGCAATCGTTTCACTCTCAGAAAGTTTAAACAAAATTGCTCAAGTTTTCAATTATCAGAATTCAAGTGAAAGAATGTCATAAAAAATTACTGAGTTGATAATCTCCATAGGCAGTATGAATCAAGCAAACTCAAACCACGAGTAATGCATTCAATTTAGAATTGACAGTCAGAGTATAAGCTCTCAGATATATCACCAAGAATGATAACAACGGCTAACAGCAACCGAGAAGACAACACAAGAATTAGATGAATAAATCATCCTGAAAGAACTTGAGAACAAAGCTGACACACTTCATGGATAAATTCTGTGATTCCAGATGTGCTTCATTAAGAATGATTGAATCAAGGGGGTTTTGGAACTTCTGGCACTGTTGGTTTGGGCAGTTATGGGAACTTTGATAGCTCAGGCAACTCAGGCACTTCTGGCTTTGGAACTGCAGCGTTCTCTGGTTTTGGTACTGTCGGAATATCTGGCTTAGGCACTTCTGGTATCTCTGAAATCTCTGGTTTTGGCACTTATGTAATCTCTGGTTTTGAGACTTCTGTAATCTCTTGATTTGTTAATGTGGGAATCTCTGGCTTTGGTAGTGTGGGCAGCTTAGGTTTTGGCAAAGTTGGTAGCTCAGGCTATTGCAATGTTGGGATTTGGGCTAAAGGAAGTTCGGGCTTAGGAACCTCAAGTGGGGTTGTCTCAAGGAGGTGGCAAGCCTCCGCCTAAATTTTGCTGCCAGTTACTGAAGATAAAGTGATAAGCTGTATAAGGAACAGAGGTGAGTGGTTATGACAAGCCATTGAAGAAGTAGAAAACAAACGTTCCTTAATAATTTTAAGGTAAGTGTTTCGATCTTGAATCGAGTGATGGATGGAAATGTATGTGAGAAAAGTTTATATAGAAACAGAAAAAGATATGGTTTGGTTGGTAAGAAGACGTCTGTGTGTTAGTTCAACTTCTTGATAGGATTGCTTAAACTATCTATTTTCTCATTCATAGTTCAGCTTTCTATTTTTCTCCCACAATGCAACTGATCAAAATGCATCAGAGTTCTAATTGGTCGTCTGCAAACAATACACATGATCAAATCCTGACGGATTTAAACTGATAGGTACTCTTATCCATTTGAAAGTGACTTGACTGCTGTAGTTTAAAGAAGAACGGATTTCATAATCTGGGCAAATCAAAAGAAATAAGTCATTAACATGAAGCGATCTCGGTGGAACATGTCAAGAAGTAGAGGAAGGGGTAGACTAAAATTAACATGGCTTACACTAGTTGCCAAGGATCTACTTGCTTTAGAATTAAACAGAGTGGCATAAAAATATGAAAAAAAGCTAATTGTACAAAATTGTCATAAAAAATTACTGAGTTGATTATCACCATAGGCAGTATGAATCAAGCAAAATCAAACCACAAGTAATGCATTCAATTTAGAATTGACAGTCAGAGTATAAGCTCTCAGATATATCACCAAGAATGATAACAACGGCTAACAGCAACCGAGAAGACAACACAAGGATTAGATGAATAAATCATCCTGAAAGAACTTGAGAACAAAGCTGACACACTACATGGATAAATTCTGTGATTCCAGATGTGCTTCATTAAGAATGATTGAATCAAGGGGGTTTTGGAACTTCTGGCACTGTTGGTTTGGGCAGTTATGGGAACTTTGGTAGCTCAGGCAACTCAGGCACTTCTGGCTTTGGAACTGCAGCGTTCTCTGGTTTTGGTATTGTCGGAATCTCTGGCTTAGGCACTTCTGGTATCTCTGGTTTTGGCACTTATGTAATCTCTGGTTTTGAGACTCATGTAATCTCTTGATTTGTTAATATGGGAATCTCTGGCTTTGGCAGTGTGGGCAGCTTAGGTTTTGGCAAAGTTGGTAGCTCAGGCTATTGCAATGTTGGGATTTGGGCTAAAGGAAGTTCGGGCTTAGGAACCTCAAGTGGGGTTGTCTCAAGGAGGTGGCGAGCCTCCGCCTAAATTTTGCTGCCAGTTACTGAAGATAAAGTGATTAAGCAGTATAAGGAACGGAGGTGAGTGGTTATGACAAGCCATTGAAGAAGTAGAAAGCAAATGTTCCATAATAATTTGAAGATCTTGAATTGAGTGATGGATGGAAATGTATGTGAGAAAAGTTTATATAGAAACAGAAAAAGATATGGTTTGGTTGGTAAGAAGATGTCTGTGTGTAAGTTCAACTTCTTGATAGGATTGCTTAAACTATCTATTTTCTCATTCATAGTTCAGCTTTCTATTTTTCTCCCACAATGCAACTGATCAAAATGCATCAGAGTTGTTCTAATTGGTCGTCTGCAAACAATACACATGATCAAATCCTAAGGGATTTAAACTGATAGGTACTCTTATCCATTCGACAGTTACTTGGCTGCTGTAGTTTAAAGAAGAACGGACTTCATAATCTGTGAAAATCAAAAGAAATAAGTCATTAACATGAAGCGATCTCGGTGGAACATGTCAAGAACTAGAGGAAGGGGTAGACTAGAATTAACATGGCTTATACTAGTTGCCAAGGATCTACTTGCTTTAGAATTAAACAGAGTGGCATAAAAAAATTCATGTAGCCAATCCCAAATGTATTTACAAGGCAGTCTTGTCATTATTGGTCTGAGAAACAAGCCATTCTCATACATGATAACTCTTCTGCATTATTTTAGGCTACAGGCCTGTGTAGAAGTTGGAAAGCTCAACCAGATTTATGGTGTAGATGATAACTTTTGTGATACAAAATATTCTAGCAAATTTTCTTTGAGTTACTAATCCTGAGTTTATGCACTGCTTGGTCCATCACTCTTGTGCTATAAATTCTACAAATTCACTTGCTGAAGTCATATTCGAGCTGAGGTTTCCAGTTAAATCTCCAGCAAGAGATACTGTATTATTCCGAATTTCCGACAAGCTCATTTGTTCAGTTTTTCTGGGTCTACTGAAGAGTCTGGAATTCAATATCTTCAAGGTACGTAGCATATTTTCAGGAAGTTCCAGTTTTGAGTTCTCTATATAAATCCAGATAGCTTTTGAGTTTGAAGCCTTCTTCAAATGTATCAAGCACAGTTCCGCTTTCTCTTTTTCCTTCTTGTTACCATTTTTATACTGAGAAATGACATGAGGAGACTTTCTCAAGTTTGAGCGAGAAAATGCTTGACTAGAAATTCACAAAACAAATTCACCTTTATTTTCAAAAAGAATTGTTGACTACATAAATCATTTTTCAACACTTTGTCATGACTATATTTGTTGCGGATTCAACAAAATCGATTGGGTTTGGACTAAATTAATTAGTTAGCAAATTTATTTACAAAAAAAAAAAAAATAATTTGACTTATTTAAGATTAAAAAAAAAATTAGGAAAATTCTGTTCTTGGTCTAGAGCTGAGAACCAAATTGAACCCGTTGGTTCTCGATTCAAATATCCGTTCGGATATTTAATTTAAGAAAAATCGTTCAGTGCGATTCGAGTCCAGTACAATTCGATTCGATTCGAAAGTTTTATCCAGCACTGCATTGCCATATATCTTGCCACCCATGAACAGTGTTTCTACCCTCACAAATGGATTCCAAAATTTAAACTAATTCGTAAGAGAACATCATGCAATCATGAACAAATAAAACCAAGTAATTATTCAAGAAGATTGAATCAATTGGAATCCAAATAAAGTGTTAAACGTTTAGTACTACTAAATAATTAGACGCAATAACTATATTAAATGAAAACTTGTATTTTCACTTCTCTTTCCTTGAAACTGAAACGACAATCTTTCCATGAACACAACCCAGTACATGTACATGCAATATATTAACAGATTATGCCCCACGGGCACATCCAAGTTGGCAAAGGATGGGCACTGTTGGGCTTGCAACCTCAGGGTAGGGAGTTCGATTCTTGGATGGAACAGGAGTATAAAGGGTGCACAGACCCTGGTCAATTTGGACATATCTCGCGATTAACCTCCACCCTTCACTGAGAGGCCGGGGATGGGTGGTCCAGGACATAATCTAGTGTAAGTTAGGATACCTAGATATCAAAAAATATATATATATTAACAGATTATGCATGTAGAAAGTCAACTCGTTAATTCTAAGGTCGAACGCATTAATATTTATATATTAATTATTTGTATTCCATTCATAGAATGTTGTTACGTTGATATGCAGTTATGATAATTAATGCTAAACAAATAGAATATATTAGGCACGTGAACTATTCCTTAGAATATAATTTAGCATGAGGAAAATCAGTCTTAAGACCGTTGGATAAATTATTGCAAGAATTATATTCCGTTAATAAAAAATATGTGCATGTAAATACTAAAGTAAAGACTTACTAAATCATAGTACATGCATAATAATGAACAAATTACTACTTACTCAAACGTAGAAAATACAGAAATCGAATAATATAAAATGAAGTGAAGTTTGCGAATGCGAATCTTTTAAGATGGATTTTGCTCCCTGTATTGGTGTTAACATGATCAAATGGATGTCTGTCTCTCAAGATATAACGTTTCTTCCAAAATTAATATAGCACACCATTAAATTTGCCGGTCGAACAATAGTATAGACAATATTCTTCTAGAATGGAAAATATCGAATACAAAACTCAAAATAATATGAAAATTATTTTGACAGAATTTAAAGAAAGAAAGAATTAGAAATGAATTATTATGAATTGATTTGGTGTAGGAAAAAAATGGAACTAAATGTCGCTATTTATAGATTTTCAAATGACTTGTTGAAAGGTTGCATCTCTTAACATAAGGCACATATTTTCACATTAAATGATGTAATATAGACCTTTTCATTGAAAAGTTGCATGTCTTAATACAGATCACAACTTTTCACATTAAATGGTGTAATATACACATTTTAATCATACACCTTTTAAATAGTCACGCCCATTCTAAGTAACGTGGCTCTTTACAATTGAAAGTGTACCTATTGAAGACATTCTAATTCACACTATAAATAATTTCAATTATTCCAACAATATATGCAATTCGTCGTCTAAGAGAACTACTCCTAATTTATGGGATTTGCAATAACTGCAATTAAAATCGTCCAGCACCCCAAGAATAAAGTTGGAGCAGGATGTGAAGAATTATGCTGTTAAGTTTTAAATTTGGAAAAGATTTCTTGCATGGTAATTATAAGGCTACAAGTTCAATTCAAGAAAATATCTATCTAAGACGATAACTTCTCTGTTTCGTAATATTGTTCTTAGATTACGCTATGACTTTAAATGATCCGGGAAAATGAAGCAAATGAAGTTCCAAAACAAAGACTAAACTTAAGAAGACGGGTTTTGATTGTTGGTTGGCTGGCTTTTTCTTGAGGTCATGGACAGATTTACAGTGGGGATAGTGGGGTCAGCTGCCTTCACACTATTGGATTTTTTCAATATTTCAAAATTTTGTGTAAAATTTTCAAAAAATTCTTTATAGTACAATTAAAAAATTTGTGAAATTTGCCCTCACAACTCTATAATCCTAGCTCCGCCCCTGCTTGAGGTGGTTTCGATGTCTTGAATACAACCAATAATGTTCTTTCTAGTTTGTAAAGCCTGAAAAACACTTCTTACGAGCACATTTTCATCCTGTTACTAATTCTTGATATATGTGTGCTTGGCCTGTGGTTCTTCTTACACAAAAATTCATTCTAAACACTTTCTGAAGTCCTAATCCAGCAGGGATTCAAATTCACAAAGATCAAGTTATAACATAGTAGCTTTCTATGTCCATTGAATCAGTTTTTTTTCCAGGTTTCTAGTCGAAATCTCTGCCACATGTTATCTATATTAACTATGTTTCTTCGGCTGCATAGTACCCAATACAACATTTAATTCCACTTTTAGCCAGTACTTCCTCCAGATAATAGTCAAAGAATTGTTTTCCTTGTAAATACCTTTATCAGGGTGGAAGCTGAAAAGCGAAAACTACAGCACTAACTTCAATACGAATGAGATACAAATTACAGCGTCCATAAACATCCATGACGTAGAAATTCTTACATAACAGTAAATACAGTATACAGTAATTCATTGTGAGAAAGTCTTTATAAACTTATTGTAGGAGATTTTACACCGATAATGTGCATATTATATTCATCAAGAACATGTCGTTAATATGCGTCAAATCGAAATATCATTCGACTTACCGAAATCTGATTTGAGAAGACAAATTAGTGAATTACCGACTCGAATATATGAATATGGATTCATCACTTTCCAATCTTGAACGCGTGTCATTCTTTAATTCAAACCTTACAATGAAACACATAAATAAATTAATCATATTCTGAAATCAAAAGAATATAGTTACTTTCAGAAATCAAAATACTAAATTAGAATGAAATCGGAAAAAGAAAGATGAGATGCAAGTGATACGATCAGCAGAGACAAGTGTTTGACATTTTGTCTTTAAGATGAATTTGCCCTACATCGGTGCTAACGGTTTTTAGCAATAATCTTTCAAGATACAACGACCGCGTCAAGCCATAGGAGCACTCCAAATGGCTTAAACCAACGAACTCGAACGGAATTCTCTCTCTACCATAACCATGATTTTGATGCAAGTATTTTATGCAAACTAAAGTGTAAGCATGAAATGTAATAATATGGAACTATCACTTTGAATTGTCCTCAATCCAAACACATGAGAATCTATATATAGTAGTTGGAAAAGTTTGTCAAAAGACACAACCATACCAAGAGACACATCTCTTGAAATTAAGATTCATAATTATTGGAAAGTAATTATACCAAAAGTCATGATCTCCAAAGGTCATGATCTTCCATATAAAAATATACATTTTTTCATCTACACATTTTCTAGAATATTCCACAATATTTTACTCGATTTTCCAACAATTTCAAGTGTTTAAGCAGCTTAAATTGGGATTAATTTCTCATTCACCAAATAACGAATTCTACTTAAATCATTTAAATTGGTCACAACCAGTTTCCGATACAAAATTCCAACAATCCCCCACATGAATGAAAATTAATGTAAATGACTATACAGACACTAGTAGAGAGAGGGCGGAAAACGCTGCATCAGAGAAGGTAGCTTTTGGCCTTGAACGTCCCTTAGTGAAATACTATCGGACTTGCTGGTTTATTGGTGAACGTGATGTTTTGAACCATTCAGCTATTGGTGTAAGCCAAGACAACAATGCTCACACAAACGTCTTCCCTAAACCGTTCATGGTTCTCATGATTGTGTCCATTTTGACCCTGAACCACTCTTGGTTTCATAAGTGTTTAGAGAATTTTAGTCTCGAACAATTCTCATTGAAGCGGCCCCACTTCACACTTACATAGGTGATCTCCTATTAAGAGTATTCTGCTATACTCCACTTGACTGAATCAAGCTATAGGAATCATTAAAAAAATATCTTAACCTTCAATCATTTAGCAGAAAGCACTTTAATTATCATAGGAATGAGTAGGAATAATTT